TATATATATATATATATATGTATGTATATATGTATATTTATGTATATATACGTCGTATACAAAAATTTGATGTGTTTCTGGAAACATGTTTTCATAATGAAATAGTTTTACATTCATATATACAGAAACGAGGTGAATCTCCTTGAAAGATGCGTATACCAACAATTTTTTAATCGTTAGACAACAGAATTTTTGAATAACGGCTATATTAGAGCTACTTCAAGCTAAACCTTCGCCCCCCTGATTCCAAATCCTTGTTCCCCATGTGTGGCCGTGAAGTGCAAACGCGGCGTTGTGCAGATCTCGATATAATCGTGTATGCTATACTCAACATCAAGGCTATACTTAAAATAAACGAGCTTATCGCCAGACTTTCAGAGAAAAAATCACCTTGAAAATCCCCATCATCCCCGCTGTCCACTCCGTGCACCGTCAGATGCTGTCGTACACTGTTCACGTTCATTTTCATATCCATATCCGTGTCACCGGTAAACCTGCCACCTATTACATCAAACGATCCACCGAGTTCATCATATTCATCTGACTCACTCTCCTCTCTCATCTCATATATTACCCCCCCCTTAGTATACACCTTGAAGGCCGCGGCCTCAGCCTCTTCGCGCGTCTTATCTTCGAAGATGTGGTGCCGTGCGTAAGGATCATTCGGTTCATTACGCTCAATTTTTTCAACTGGTTCATTATGTTCGTTAGGTTCGTTGGCTACATTAGGATCCTCCAAAACTAATTCCTTGAGGCGGTCAACGTTAAGTTCAGGTTCACTATTTGCCAGATTGAGCTGATCGGTATCCTCTTCGTCATTCCCCTGTGCCTCATCAGCATATTGTGCATTGTGATTTGCCCTCCCACTTACTTGTTCGTCATTTACAAATTCTTCTGACTTGTCACTATCTTGGATCTCGCCCGTTTTCTTATTGTCGAAGGCTTTATCGCCATCGCCAACACTTTCAAACTTGAATTTACGGTCATTCACACCTCCCGTGACACTCGGATTTTCACCAAGCTTGGCTGTACTATTAAATTTCGCGTCCCTATCAACCCCTTCATTCGAGTTCACCACTTCCTCTATAGCTTTGTTCCCTTTCTTCTCATCTGACGATGTTGATGTGTCAAAACCTACATCTTTGTCGACGACACCCTTGTTTTCAACCACGTTAATCTCACTTGGCCTATCGGTCACTCCCCTCTTACCCCCATATGCAAATCCGTTAGGAAAGCTCTGAATGATTATATCTCTACCGTCCTGAAATTTATCTTCTGCCATCACTTTTGCAATTTGTCGTATCCTCTCGCGATCCTGTTTCCTTTCCTCGTTAACGCCCCCATCTCCTTCAAAACTCTCACTTAAATCATTAAAAACAATTGCTAGATCACCCTCAATATGCTTAATCAACGCTAAATTCTGTTCTATATCGGCGTCATTTTGAACGCTATCTCCCGATACAGTACTGTGCGGGTTCATTATTAAGGCTAAGGCCACAAGTGCTGTTAAATTTTTCATTGTACGGATTCTGAAGACCGATGAGTCTGTAAATGCTACAAGGTATTAGAATACTCGTACTAAAGCGTCAACAATGACACTAAGTGCAAATGTGCAAATGCACGCAAGAAATCGATTCTACAGCCTACTGTCCCCAAAGGGCCCAAGCCCCACGGGCCAACCCCCGAATACAGAATACTATTGCCCACATACTGAGGCTGTGAGTTAGTCTACGACTAAAGAGTAAATGACAGGACTTGAAAGTTGAAGAAAAAAATCAGATTTTACACCGACATAAATTGGCGCTATGATCTGTATGGCTGCATACACACAAAAGAGTGCTCCAGCCTCCAAGAAGCTATTTGTTTTCCTAGATATTTTTTAAAAAATCCTGGGGCAACGTAGGGCAGTGAGCAGTGGGCACAGGCCGCAGGGTCGCGGGCCCACAAATCCTGTATTTATTGTACCATAGCCGGAATATCTTTATACGGCACTGGTGACAATAAAATTATTAACCACCTCAAGCCCAGTTTCGTACCAGTACTTATACTTTTTTTGAGTTTACTTGATGTTTAAGATGTAATTGGCGTGATTTTAGCCCATTTATTGCACTTATATTAGTTCTTTGTTGGCCTCAGAGGAGAGGTCGACGTATGTTAGACACGAATAGGGATAATACTATTTATTTCAAAAATGGCAAGTATGTATGATACAATGTATGAACATATGGAATGGCTCTCATAGTCGCTGTAGTGGTTCAGGAAAGATTGATGGGAAGAAGTGGTTCAGGAAAGATTGATGGGAAGAAGTGGTCAGTAAATTCCCGTTTGAAGCTTGGGCCAAGTGAGTCGACAATGGAAGATATTTGCTGAGTCAATTCGGGCCGGTGTTGACAAAATACTGTTACTATCGAATGTTCCATATATTCGCTTGCTGACCTACTAAGTAGAGTACCCACCTCTGTGGTACGGATCGGGTCTGCGCCGTGTAGTGCCTCGGAATGGGTTAGTGCAGAGTATGAAATACCGAGAATAGTGTCAACTGTAAAACCATGAGCGAATCCGAAGCAATAGCTAAGACAGAGGACGCCTATATACAAGTGGCTAACTGCTAACATATGTCAAGCCCTTAAGACCGACAAGGACCACGACTTAGGTATAAGCACTACTGATGGATCAGTCAAGTCCCAGTGTGGTACTGCAACTCCACGCATACTGCCATCTAACATAAGTGCAACAAATGGGTTGTATCCGCGCTACAATATCTAACATTTAAGTCGAGCGCTTTCAGCCGACAGATAACAAACAACCCGGCAGAAAACAAACAAATCTCACAAGTCCGGTCTTAAAATTACGCTAATTGCATTAATACACCAATATTTAAGCAAATTTAACTCGAAAAAGTACGAGTATGAGACTGGTAGGAAACTGGGCCTGAGGTGGTTAATAAAATTTTTGTCACCAGTGCCGTATAAATACATTCGGCATAGCCTACTATTTTTATTTTAAATATAACAACTGTTGTACATATTTATATATTTTATGTTTTTTTTAATTGGGGGTGTTTTTTTTTGAAAAACAATGTATTCTGAACAATAACAGCTTACAATCCAACATAACCCACTAAATTATACATTCTGAAAAAATAGGCAAAAGCTGCAACCTCACAGAGCTCAGTGCTCGCTGCTCACTTTCAGTGCTCACTCTCAGTGCTTTTAGACTGCTCAGTGTGCTCGCTGCTTATACCAGTCCCAGACAGAGCCTTTAACAAAGTTACAATCCCACACTTGAACTCAGTACCCACAGTCACCGACACTCCGACAGTGCCGACTGCCGACTGCTGCCGATTGCCGACTGCTGCCGACTGCCGACTGCTGCCGACTGCCGACTGCTGCCGACTGCCGCAAGTACCAACGGTAGTACGGTCCCGACTAAATAGTAAATGTATTTAGTACCGAGTACCGACTGACTGTCAGTAAATACCGAGTACCTTAGGGCTTTAGAGTTAGAGTGCAATGTGCATATGTAGCCTACTATAAATGTATTTAAAAATACATAGCGACTAAATATTATAGAAACATGTTTTTACAAAAATAGCGTTAAATTGTTTAATTTATCACAAAGGCTCGCCTCTATGGTTAAAAAAATTATATAAAAAGTTCACAATTCGAAATATTCGACAAAATTTAAAAATATATAGACCCTTAGAGACTTTTCTCATAGCTTTCTAAATTTTAACTTCTGTAAAACCCGCGGGCTTGACACGAAAGTAAAACTGTCACTCACACGAAAGAAAACACGACACTCCAAACTGCCTGGATTTATGCGCGCCAAAACCTGAGGCGCCAACCAGAATTGCCTAGTTCCGGGAAAGGTATAAATAGGCTGGAACGGTTGTTCGCAAGTTCACTTTACTAACGTGAAGCTTTGCGACCAACCTAAGTTTAATAAACTTTGCCTGCAAGCATTCACCGCTTTCTTTCCCGTACCTCGTAGGCCTTACAATTAAACTAAGGTCGGCTGAAGATTCACTTATAGTGGAGAATACTATCTTTTACCAATATGGGTAAACAAACTACTAATTCTGCTAAGATCAAGGATAAAACATATTACATTCTTTGATTTGACCCAGAGCATCCTATTGTCCCTTGGGTCCGTAAAGTTCAAACTTGAATTAAATTTAAGCCATTCCGCGGCCTTGACGACCGTTCTACCAGCTCTGGCCGCAGTGCAAAGATTAATGCACTCATGAAGCTCGTCGACCAGTCCTACTGGCATCCGATTGAGCCATACCCTAGCCCATCCACCACTCTACATGAGCTCATTGCCAATGTGCTAACTCAGTTTGGGCCAATGCCCAATTTGTTCTTGAAACAAGGATATGATTTGCAGATTTACCGTATAGCAACTCAACTTACTGGCCCCGATGATGGTGTTCCCCACTTTTGTACTATGTGCTTACGTGAGTTCCATGAACTTATGGTGCGAGTTGCTATTATGCTTGCCTTTACTGCTCCTCGCGGAATCACTGGCCGAGTACCCCTGGAAGCCAAGGCTTTTTTGAAGCCTCCCCCACCTCCCTTCCCATCGTACCAGTCTTTTACTCTTTCAGAGGTCTTGCGGATACTTTCACATAAAGTTTACAAGTGTCATGGGCGCATAATATCTGCACAGAAATTTTGGATTGTATCTGGGCAACCCATTGTGAGAGAGGTCACCTTTGACCCTGTAGGTTGCGCTGTGCTTTACAGGAACAACTACATTGGTCCTTTGATGAGCCATTCCTTCTCAGGCTTATTATTTCCTGTCCTGGGTGCATTCTAGAAGGAGACCCATCAGGCCCCGCAATGGGCCTTCTAACTCAACCTACCCGAGGTAAATACCTTGGTGCGGTGAGGTACTTGAACTTAAAAGTGATGCCTGAAACTGCGCGTGCTTATAAGTATGTGATTTTCTGCATTGATGAACATACAAAACTAGTTCATCACGATGAAAAGACTACTCAAGATATCCTTGTTCAGTTACAGCAACAGCCTGAACAATGGGCGACAACTATCGAGTATGTTGTTGATAAGGACAGTCCCTTTAATTCCAAGTTCTTCACTACTTGGTGTGCGGCTGAGCAGATCCGTTGCCATATTGTCACTCCAGGTGATCATATTCAAAATGATATTGTTGAAAAACTTATGAACTTACTTGGAATTTATATTCCTGGAAGTTCACTCGAGATTATAACTCAAGTGTCCATACGGTCACAAACGTCTCGCCATACACTTTGGAAACAAATCATCATCGTGCTGTGCATAAGCATCTTGAATATATCCTTAACAAGGATCTTGTTTCTACGGAACACCCGAATACCCTCATTCCTTTCCCCACTGATCGCGATCTTGATGTTTGAGAGAGAAATCGCAAGACCCAACTCTCCCAAGCTACCCAAGCAAATCCCCATCGATATGATACGCTCATGATTGCTGTTGAGCGCATCATGATGTACAAATTGAAACCATCGCCGTTCCGTTTTCAGCCCGTACCCGTACGGGGGGGGGGGGGGGGGGTCCTGCCATTGTCCGAGCGCTTCATCCTTCAGTAATTCACGTAGTTCAAGATATTGCTAGGGACAAATTTTATCGCTTTCATTAATCGAAGTTGAAAGCGTATATTGCCCCGATTGGCCTCTCTACCCCTGTTGTTCGCGGTACCCGCGCAACTTCTATTTATACGAATTGGCTATTCTATGACATCCCCTCCTGTTCTTCACCCGAGCCCGACCAAGTTGCCCTTGCTTCTGCATTTAAGGAATGGCCTGCTGCTATTCTCTTCCAGTATAAGTCTTTCGTGGCTATCAAAAATTACTTTTCTCTTTGTGCTATTCACAAATGATCCCCTGCTTTGGCTACTCTTTCTTCTGCTGATTTGGCTTTCGTCTGAGATATTGTTACTACTCAGCGATACCCTAATCTTAAATCTGCTTTAGTATGCGCCTACCGCTTGGCTACTGCTGCCGATTACCGTACTTCCCAGCTCCTTACTTAGCGTACCAAGTTCCAGTCTTCTCAACTTTCACCTTGATGCCCACGTGCTAAATACGTTCCTGATACTTATCAGAACGTATGGGGGATTGTAAAACCCGCGGGCATTTGACACGAAAGTAAAACTGACACACACACGAAAGAAAAACCGACACTCCGAACTGCCTGGATAAATGAGCGCCAAAACCTGAGGCGCCAACCAGAATTGCCTAGTTCCGGGAAAGGTATAGATAGGCTGGAACGGTTGTTCGCAAGTTCACTTTACTAACGTGAAGCTTTGCGAAAGTTTAATAAACTTTGCCTACAAACATTTCCCGCTCTCGTGCCCGTACCTCGTAAGCCTTACACTTCGGGTTTATTATGTAGCAAAATTTGAAAAGTGCTGCAAAATTCAACCTGGCGGGTTTGTATAGTTTTTCCGCTATTTGGGCTATAACCACGGCTGATGGCTCTATGGAAAGCTGAGAATGTCTCATGATAAACCCCATTGCCCGCTTGTTCGTATCTGTAAGCATCGCGCCGCACTCATCTTTGAACTGTACTTAATTTAACATCGATAGAGTCTGTATGGCAAAAAAATAAAGATTGATTATACTATTGGCTGACGGGAAACTGGCGGCAAGATATCAAATCGAAAAGAACACATAAACAGTGTTTTGCACATGTTGACACGTACGTGCACTTATTTTTTAGCTGTGTTCTGTGTAGTAGCTTCTTGTGTATGCGTGCCTAGAGTAATTGTATCCAGATTGATTCTGTGATCAATAAAAATGGTTTGCCTAAAGAATTGCAAAACGAGATGCAGTGGTCACAAGGGTAAAGTACAAGGCTTGCCTTCTTTTACTTTGTGTTGGTGCGAGTTGTGTCGAGGATCGTGTGTCGAACAGTGGAACAGACGCCAGGTGCCAAGCAACCGCGTTTGAAACACCTACTAATGAGAAGCAGTGTATTGATGATACGGCAGAGTGTGAAGCCTTCCAAAATTCGTTTGGAGCTGATACATCGAGTCGATCACGACGTAAGGGAAAGTTTGAAGATTTCAGCAGAGACAAACCGACTCGTTTAGGAATTCTGCTGCACTCATGCTGTGCATAGTAGAGTATGTAAACATACTTTGCCCTATGATCACTAATTGTTTCTTGAAGATGGTTGCTTATACGAAGCTTTGAGTTTGATTTCTTCGGACGATACACGGTGTGTTGGTATGGCCCTATTATCACAAGTAGCTAAGCCCGCAAAACAAAAGTAAAGTACACCGGAACGTACGCAAGATTTTGAGATTAATTTCAAGATAGATAACGAAGACTCAAAAGAACATCTACTTATCATAAGATAGCTATACCTGATTTCCGACAGACCCACAAAGTATACTTAGGAAACAAGATTTTTCTTCTGCTATTAGTAGGTCCAGAACGGCACAAGATGTGGATAAAGTACCTTGGACGGACACTTAGGACCGGACCAGACCTACAAGTGGAATTTTAGGACCGGACCAACACAGAGGACCGGGCCTATGTAGAATATTTCAGGACCGGGCTGAGGGACCGGACTGAATATTGGAACAGATGATTAAGATGAGATAATGATGACTCATACGGTATCATCAGAATTTAGTAGCTAGGATACGACAGCTGTCATACAGATGACTCATACAGTGTCATGATAATTTAATAACAAGGAAACCAGTACTACACCTTCGGCTCTAGTAACGTACAGTGCTACCCCACAGCCCATCCTACTAGCGTCCGTGCGTAGTATTAGTACGTTATCCTCTTGTAGCGAAGCTAGCGCTGGTGCTTGATCTAACACATCGAGGAACTTAACCCACGCACGCTGTTGCTCCACTCCCCACTCAAAGGCTACTCTCTTCATTAAAAGTCTAGCCACTAAAACGGCTCTAAGACTAAGGAGAAGTCCGGTACGTATCTATGGCACCAATTAGCTGTGGCATACAGACTACGTAGCTCTTGTTTGCTCTCGGGCATTCGCATTGTCCGCAGAGCCTTTAGAGAAGCACTTATACTTCAATAGTCCTCTTCCTTCGGCACTGGGAATGACCGAAACTTCACTTGCCGATTCAAATTCACATCAAAAACGCAATGTGCCGGGTTCTTTCTTAGGGACTACTAGTGGCTACAGGTTCCAATCTGTCTTCCAGACACACTCCTCAATGACGTGATCCTTAAGCATACGATGAACTTCAGCCCTGATGGCCTCTCTCTTCTGAGGATTCTTTTCCTCATAGTATATGTAAACCGGGCTAGCACCATCTTGTAACACGATCTCATGCTCTGCCCCCGTGATGGTAGATTCTTCGCCATCTACCCATGTAACCTCCTTGTGGACAAAGTACCCTAGGCGGACATTTAGGATCGGACCTAAGGACCGGACCTAGGGGATTATTTGAGGACCGGACCAGAGGACCGGACCGATTAGTGGAATAGAGTATTAATAAAATAGAAGTGATGACTCATACGAAACCATAGGGACGGGTATTTTCACATAACCCGATGGTAGAGAAAGTCTCGTTCCACGTAGGATCGTGAATAATAAATATAGCAGGCGCGCCATACCCAATGGCACTTCTGACTGAGTTCACTTATTTTAGACATAACACTCTTTATTAAGTGTTGCTTGGTTTTGACACATTTTTAAGTGACCGAACTACTGTATTTATTATACTATGTTCTTTAACGGTTAAATCAATTAAGAAGCAACTTAGTTTACTTTTATTTATTTTAGACCGTTGCCTACGGTGGGTAAGCAAGCCTGTGACCGGCTGCTGAAACGGTTGCTTGGAGTTATTCGCCGTTTAACCGTGCTATGCGATAAGGTGGATGCAGCACGTGCCAGGAAACCTGCACCCGAAGACGACAAGAAGATGGAAATCCATTTGGAATTGACCTGTTTGTTTTTAGAGTACCAATACTCAATCCACACCTTGGGTAGGCTCAGTCAAGCCCCAGAATGGATTGCTGATCAAGCAGGACACTTAAATACGATGAGGCATGTGCAGGAGGCCACGGAAGATATTCATCTCATTCAAGAGCAACTCCGCCAACTCCTTGAATTGTCACTGGCGGATATTGACACATCTACGCCCCAGGACACGGCCCAGGCGACAATGGATGATGATTCTTCTGAGACTAAGGCCGCACCAACAGTGCAACAACATTGGGCTCCTCAATAGTTACGTGACAGCGGGGCTATCAGCATGAAGCAAATTAGCCCAGTGAAACGCAGGATTGGCCGCACGAAGCCCGTATCTCAAGTGGCTCCTTACGATAATGTACATGTTACGCGCAGAGAGCGGTTGCTGAAGAACGCTCAAAATCGTGCACAGACGATTCCGACCCCTGATGAGATGCCGGATAATGGTCCGGATAGGTATCAGAAATCGACAACTTTTGGTGAAATCGCCTGGAAGAATTGTTTTGGACCGAGTGGACTTGCATTTGGACATGGCTACCCCTCAAAATCTGTCATCATCGGCGAAGAGGTCCTTTGATGCATTTCGCAGAGTGATGAAATCTCCACGCCAACAGCCTACTCGCGGTCAAGTGACAGCGAATTTGTTCCGGGACAAATTACAACATCATCGTCGTCCGCAGTCTCCAAAAGGAAGGGATGAGAACTGCCAGGATAATGCAAATGTACCTATCGATACGCTTGCATACCGCAAGCACTTCCCTGTTCACCACGATCGTTATTTAGAGGACCCGCAAGACGTGAAACGATGTAAGATATCACCACCTACTGAGGCGTGCATCACTGAATCTACCGCGGCAGTGATGAAAACGCAGGTATTCCTTCTCACCCAACGTAAGATGCAAGCAGAAGCTGAGGGACGCACAGAGGACGCTCGTTCGTTGCAGGGTTTGATTCGCATGTATAATGAGACGTTGAAGACTTTCTCTATAACGGTAGATAAACGGACGCCCAAGGAATAGCCACTTAATCCTCAGGACAGCTAATATTTGGATAACCCGCAGAAGATACAGCTGCATGCGTTCATCTTGGATTGGCACAAGAATGCCAATTTTTACAAATTAGACCCGATTCATATGCAGATGGGCCTACACAGGGCACTCCAGAAAGAAGGAGCACCCAAGGCGTTATTGGTTTTTATCATGGAGAACGAACAAAAATCGCAGTCATGTCGTTTCAGGACGTCACTGCTTATATTGTACGCAAACACGAACAAGATCTGGAGGATAACGCATGCAGAAATGTACTGGCTTGCATGAAGTTAAACCCTTCGGTGCCGCTAGAGACACAACTTTGGGATTTTGAACGCAAAGTAGACTTCATGGAGATGCGACAATATGAGAATCCGCTACAAGTATACCGCAACCATGATATGCTCAACCTAATCAATCAAGCTGCGGGGGGAGCATATTACCGTGATACCCTTCGTTTGCACCCTAACTGACGAGAATATTCCGCGGCACAAATGCGTGATGTATTTCGGGTGAATATTGACAAGGCGGAAGAACAATGTCGGGCAAACCTTTCTCGACTGTTGCAAACCCCGGGGGGATCACGTTCACGCACACGAGTGCGTGTCGAGACGAACGCACGAGCTAACCCGCATGCGCCGCCAGCATCGAACCCTAGGGTTCGTTGTCGGTCATGTGAGTAGAATATCCCTCCTGGCCCAGCACACGCACCCCGCTGTCCTAAGCTACTGAGAGCACCGACATCAACCAACACGAGCAGCCATGCACAGCATGGGGGTGCGCCACCACACCGTGCATCGACTGTGGGAACATCCACGCGCACACAACAGGCGCCGGGTAATGACTTCCGCCCTCGAGTTAATCTCGTGGATGGGGGTGATCAGATGCCCGATCCGACGCCAGCAGATGTAGGAGAAAGTGAGGTGATGCATATTCATGATTTGGTCGACGAGTCCTATGTAGACAGCGAAGATGAGTTGATGGAGGCCGAGCACGGGCCAGCCGATTGGGAAGAGGAGTCAAGCTCAAATTGAGAGGTTGGGGTGTTTGAGTTGACCGTGTGCGTGACGTTTGGTCGTACGGCAACAAGAATATTTGCAGTAAAGGATATATTGTTCCCTACCGACAACCGTGTATATGTTACGTTACAAGTAAACGAACATGCGATGCGCACACTCATTGACACGAGGGCGAACCGCTTTGTTGTTACTCAGGCATCCGCAGCGCAGGTGCAACTATCTGTTACACCACCAGTTAAGGATAGTTATTTATACTTGGCGGACAAAGCCTTCCGCACACCGCGCCTTGGCAAAACACTCGCTACGACGGTTCAATATGGTACAAAGTCTGCTGTAGGTTGTACGTTTCAACTTATGAATTTACCCGATAATATTGATGTATTTCTGGGAATGGAGGGTTTTTTGGGCGAATTGGGATTAGGACTTACTGGACTATCAACACCGTTTCCAGAAAACAATCGTAATTTTATTGATGAACTACTCGAACCGATCGACATTCGCATGGCACCAGACTTGTCCGAACCTGAGGATATACGGCAACGACTACGACAGTACTTAGATGCCAACGAGACCATTTTGGATGCGGCTCGATGTTCTCTACCAGGCAGCGAAGTATCCCTTCCAATACCTCGAGATAAACTTTTGGGACTTCGACGACAAACACGGAACTTGGTGTCAGACAAGTACAAACCATACGTCACGCAGCAGGTACATAGATGGGAACATGAATTGGTAACCAAGCGTCGTACGTCGGCGTCAGTGGTCAACCTGTCTCTGCTGGCAGTACCATCATTTACACCCTCGGGGGAACTCACTAAGGTTCGGATGTGTTTCGATTTGCGACAGATCAACGCCCTTATTCCGGGAGACCATTTACATTACCGAAGGTCAATGAGATCATTAGTAACTTACGAGGCAAGCGATATTATACCACGTTAGATTTATCGGCCGCATATCATCGCCTTCAAGTACACGAGGACTCACAACATATGTTCTCGTTTACTTGGGGCAGTCACCAATACTCCTTCACTTCGGCTCCGCAATCAGTAATCCGATGGCGGGTTTAGGCGTGCAATGCTACGTAGATGACCTTATCATTGCATCTGATGACTACGAGGAACATATTGCAACAGTGGAAGGGGTCGTCCGACGGCTTACCGAGAACAACTTCAAGCTTTACCAAACGAAGTGTCAATTTGCGATAAGCGAGGTCATGGTCCTGGGGAAGGAGGTTTCTGCGAAAGGAATTAACGTTGATCATGAGAAGCAACAACGGTTGTTCGACTGGCCAGTGCCACGGTGTCAAAGGGACATAGCATCGGCATTGGGGTTGGCAAACTTTCTACATGAGCACTTACCTAACTTTGCACATAAAGTGGCACCACTGCGATCGTTCTCGAAATTCAAGCCGAAGAAACCGATTGGGGATCGTTGGAAGCCAGAACACCAACTGGCATGGGATCCGATGAAGGAAGCAATCGTGTCTGCGGTACGGTTAAATTTTCCGGTTGACGGAGTACCACTTGAATTAGAGACTGACGCCAGTGATTATGGTATTGGAGGTGCACTATTTCAGTAAATTGGCGGCCGCAAGCACTACCTGATGTTCTTCTCGAAGACTGTCAACAAGGCGCAGCAGACATACGCGACACCAATGAAGGAATTGTTAGCGCTTACTTATGCATTGATTCACTTCCATGATCATTTAATAGGCCAGCGTTTTACTGTGCACACAGACCACAAGGCACTGATATACATGAACACCCAACGGAAATTGAACAGCGTGCTGCGACGATGGCATCACATCATTGCGCAATTCAACTTCGTGATAACACATGTCCCAGGGGAACTGAATAAATTACCAGGCATGTGGAGCCGGGTTCATGAGGGCACAG